GCCTATCACTGTATTGCATAAATAAACAGCAAATTCAATACCCATTTCTATAGCCACATAATGAATATTATCTGCAAATGTTTTGCCACTTTCAATAAACACTGTCAATCCATTCAACAACCTGAAATTTCATTTGGCATTTCGAAGTGAATTTTTGTCGAAAAACCTGAATTCATTTATGAATCAGAGGGGCTGAAGTTTCCAGTAATTGCGAAGCCATTGGTGCTTGATACGCACAATAATTTCCGTACTCGAACTCGAGCTACTGGGCTCGACCTTGACCCAACTTCATTGGGGTTATGTTGAGGTCAGGCCTTGCCTCGAGGTCGAGCTATTGGGCTCAACCTTGACCCAACTTCATTGGCCTTAACTTGAGGTCGGGCCTTATCTTGAGGTTGGGTGCAGTCTTGACTCACCCATCCTCTTGACATCATCGCACGTTTCCTAAGGAGTACCAATCCCACTTGAATATAAATCCCCAACTTCTTACAAATCCAATTGTAAGAAGGACTCAATCTCCAACATTTATAAATACAAAGTCATTGCTCATTACTTAGTCATTCAATAATATTCCAGCATATATTTTGTAATTTCTCTCTCTGACTTAAGCATTGGAGGAACGACGAGAACACATTTCGACACCTTTGTATTTCAGGTATTGAGGATCAGAGCGCGTGGAGTTCAACCTTCCGGTTCGAGTCAATCTATGTATGAATTTTTGGTAGCATCAGTGCTAATAGTAGCTCCAACTCTCATCAGATGGCCATAGTTTTTAATAAGGAGGGTTCGAAAGGTTTAAAACCCCCAATTATACTTCATGAGTTCGTGAATTATTGAGAAGTGATTTTCAAAGTTTATGTGGCTCGAGGGCATGTGTGTGGTGGGGGTGGGTTATGGTTTTTGTTTCTAGGTTTGGGTGGGGTAGGTATATGTGGTTTGGGTTTTTTTCTTTTAATTATTTTATTATAGAGAATGTGAAGTTATCATTTTATCTTTTCAAAATTAGTCAAAATTATGGTCAAAATCAATTCTCTGGTCAACTAATGGTCAAACTAACGATTTTCATCTTTTTGGACTCCATGTGCGAGTATTTTTAAAGGTTTGATACCGTGAGTGATACAAATGAAAAGTTTGAACAAAATTTGTAATTAAATAAAAGATTTAGTACACAATTTTTTCTTTTTTAATTGGAGACTGGGAGATTAATCATTCAAAAGAAATTTTAAATTTCTCGCTTTTGATTTGAAAAGCCATCATTTTCCGGTGGCTTAAATTTCACTCAAAAGCTTTTGCAGCCCATAATCACAAGCAAAGTTGCAGGTTCATTCTTAATTTTTAAGTTAGTTTTTTTTTGTCTTTTTCAATTAATGCCCTAATTCAATATGCATTAAAACCAAAGCGCATTCAAGCACCCTCTCACGTTCATTTTCAATTATACATTTTTAAAAAAATATTATTTTAAAAAATATATATATATATATATTAACTACCTTAAAGTCACGACAAGATCAACACTTACTTCGCATCGCCTCTCTTATAGAAAATTTTCGATGTTGTTAGGTCATGCCATTAGACGCCACCCTTGGGACAATTGTTATTCGATACAATTGACATTTGCTGTAAAAGGCGATGCATAGCTAGATCACAACTTTCAAGATATGGTAACCTCTAGCCTATGATGACGATGTATAGACACAATTGAATACGATAAATGAGTCATTGATATGATGTTATGTGTTCAGCATCTAGAGATACATCTTCCACCTATAAATAATTAGTCCTTTCTCCTTCAAAGGTAATCTAGTTTTAAATTTATAATTTTACTTGAGGTAAAAAAAAATTAATAATAACATCAAACTTGGCATTCATTTTTTTTGTCCATTGTGTCTTCCACATCCAAATATTTTTCTACTTCTGACTTGAGATTTTGGGTATACATGACCGTCGCACCCCATAGGAGCTATGATCTTGTACAATCTAACATGATATTAAGTGTACAAGTAATATACACGCGAACGTGAGATGAATTAAAATTGCTAACAGATGAGTCCCGTCAAATTTAAATGTCAACAATATATGTTCATAGAGATATAGTATAATAGTCTACTCACACACACACATTTTTACTGTATAGGCAAAATAAATGCACACAAAATATAAGTTAAACGTGATAAAATTGAAATGTGACTATGACATTTACCTTTTTGCACTTTAATCCATAAATTCATTTTCATTTACTATACCTATAATAAGAAATTGAAAGATAACATTTAAATTGTATGAGCTACTTTTTCTCTATTTTTTAAGGTAACATAAATCTAATATAATAATAGGAAGCGAATTTAACTGCAACTAATGCTATCAGCTAATCATTGGTGTTGAACAACAATTTAGGTGTCAGCATATCATAAATCTTATAAAATGGATCATAATTACTTGTATTTAATTGAACCTGTAATTTAATGTCACCAGTGCTGCTAACTAAATTGATATTAAATATCAATTGTGTTAAATAATATTACTCTAAACAATTATCCTATGAAATTTAATGTTTACTACCATGTTTTTTTTATGCCATATTCATTTCTTTTGTCTTTCGTATATCCTTTTAATGACGCAAAAAGAAAAATTCATAAATATATGGTTACAAATTTATGTTCAAGTAATTTTAAACAAATATAACAAAAATGTTGTAGAATATTTTCAATAAATTAATTGTAGACTAAATGGTCGGAAGTTACATTAATGCTTCCGATAACATAAATTTTTTACTTCTATATAAAATAATATTTCAAAAAAAAATTATGTTTGTCTGATTCGAGAAAAAAATGCTCGTTGGGTTCTTATACTTTCATGTTTACAACTCAATTCATCTGATTATTACAAAGTTGAAAAATCAATCACATAGAATGACTATATTATTAAAAATGTGGAGATATTCAAATAAAGTCAATCTTAGTATGAACGTGAAACTAATCAATCAAATTTAGTAAATCTTAATTTTGATCATTGTTCGTCCCATAAAATTGTTGGTAGTTCATCAATTTCTTGTATTAGGTGATATTGTTGAATCTACAAAAATACAATCACAATCAGTTTATTCAGCTACTAGATATAGGTAAAATAGGCGATTCTCACGATCCACTCAGATGGTGATCATTTTTCGACTAATGGAAATAATTTAAATAGCTGACGAAATTATTATTAACGTCTTATTTGATTCTCATTATTTTTAAAATACATTTTTCTCTTTCTTCTTTTCAATCACACATTATTTGATAAAACAATATTACACACAAATTCAAAACTTTTCATTTTTTAATCACATATTCTCCATCAATCATTATTTAAAAATGAATTTTTAACCAAATAATGGGACTCAAACAAGGGATAAATAAAAAAACTGTAAGTACCACACGTTTAGATATTACCACTTTTTGCCAAAAAATTATCTTCATAAAATCTCTATTTTACCCTTACACCCTTAACACTCACTCGCACGAACCACCAAATTATAAGGATTAACAGTAGAAAATTCCTTAGAAACGTTTTCATTTGTGATATATCCTCATACCTATTGAAAATCGCGAAAAAATCTCTATGTGAAATCTTTTGTGTGAAAAATCCTCTGTTCTAAAAAGCTTGCTTAGGCGGCGTCTAGGCTCGAAGTTTGATGAAAATGCCTCGCTTTGAGACTAAGCGGTAATTAAGCGGTCAACGACAATGTTGACCGCCTAAAGCGCTCCTGGGCATGCCTAGGAGCGCCTAGGGGCCCTATGCGGCTGGCGCGCTTTCGTCTTGGAGGCCCAAAATTTCCCCCATTTTTAAATATAACCCACAGCAATTAAGATTAGTATCAAATAGTGAAGTTATACAACTCAGAATAGAAGTGTTTTACATTTATCAATGATTCAATAGTGAAAACAGACAAACATAATCTGGGCTTCTGCAATTAAGAAGTCGTCTGAAACTGTAATCCGAGCTTCTGTAATTAATCGAAAATCATTTGTTGTGAATTTTTATTTTGTATATACATATGACATATCAGTTTCAGACTTCGGGAGAGTCAATTGTAATTTGTAGCCCTCGTAAATCTGATGCATGTCAATGATTCCAAACTGATGGTGGAATAACTCATGTAGAAAAATCTGGAAATTTAATCAAGAATACCTTTTAGCCCTTGACGTGAGGCCCAATCAGTGCTTAACTGTTTATGTAACTAAATTTTCATTTGTTNGCCCGCCTAGGCTCGTAAAGCTTGAAACTTGGTCTCAACGCCTAGCCACGCTTTACGCTTTTTAGAACATTGGAAAAATCCCTCTACCGACAAAATTTCCATTTAAAAAAAAAAGTAAAAATGCCAAAATTAAAAAATAATAATTGCAATTTTAGCATACAATCTTTTTATTCTTTTACAAATTATACAATTTTTTTTTTTTTTATTATGTACCACTCACAATCTCAAACCTTTAAAACTTTATTTTCCACCACATCCCATTTCATTTTCTTCCCCAAAACTTTGTTATTTTATTTAATACCTTCCAAAACCCTCCTAAATCCCTCGTCCCAAATTCCCCATTTCTTCCTCTCACCACAAACCTTTAGAACTTTTTGCCATATTCTTATACAAATTGTAATATCATTCAATCCAACAGCTAAGTAGGCATAAATGTAGACCAACACTCTTCCTACTACAAAGTTTTTTGTATCTTCCAACGAATTTTTCGTTCGGAATACAAAAATTATGCAAAAGAACTTGTGAGGTGAAACAAAGAAGTAAAAAGAAATTTTAACATTGTCCCTGGAAAGTTCAGACATTCCAGGGACAACAATCAAATCTTATATAAGAATTCTAAAACAAAAATAAATTTTTTCATTGCATAGAACACTAAAAACCCATCTCCAATTTTTACTGAAATTGTGAAACAATCATCATGCTCGACTTGATCAAAAAGAGAAAAAATGGCAATTATTGGAATATGAGGGTTTTAGATTTGGAAATGAGAAGAATAAATGAGAAATTTGGGATGCGGAATTTGAGAGGGTTTTTGAAGGGATTAAATAAAATAATAAAGTTTCGTGAGAAGAAAATGAAGTGGAGTGGAGTGGAGTGGAGTGGGGTGGCTTAAATGTTTCAGATCGTAGGTGGTACATAAAAAAAAATGGGTATAATTTGTAAAAGAATAAAAAAATTGGATACTAAATTACAATTATTACATTTTAATTTTGGCATTTTTACTGTCTTTAAGGACAAATTTAACGATAGGGAGGTTTTCGCACAAAAAATTTCAAATAGGGAGATTTTATGTGATTTTCAATAAATATATCGCAAATAAAAATATTTATAGGAGATTTTATGCTATTAATCCAAATTATAACGTGTAAAATTCTTTCTTCACTTCCCATTTTTTATTTTTTTTCTATTTTTATCACTGGAAAGGGTAGTTTCAGAATTTTCTGTTTCCAAAATTTACCTCTACAAAAATATCTATAGAGGGATGTTATTGTCTTTTCAATAAAATTCTAAGGCCAGCTGATGGTTCACAACGACTATTAAAGGGGGTGCCCGCTCTCACAGATTTTCGTACCACATTCTCTCCATAACTCGCTATATCGATTTCAGAAATCCAAAGGTAAGATCTAAGAGGTGAAATATTCGTTTTTGTATTTGAGATTTTAATACTTTTGAGTCAAACATACACACTGTAATATGTGTCGGTAGATTTGATGTTTTTATACGCGTTTTATGTGCGTGAAGAATGACGTTGATTTAATATGTTGGTGTGATGAAATAGGTATGAATTTCTGCGGTTGTTTGTTTAATTTCTTTGATTATTCACTGATCTGAATAATTGTGTCGGCAAATGATTTGGTCGTAATGATTCAAATGAATTTGATTTGATCTATCTATTGCTGCTGAATTTCTGTGAGTTGTGATGTTAATTTTGGAGTTTGCATAGATCTATTAGTGTTTAGAGGAGTCTAGTCTCGGATCTGGATTTCTGTTGGTTTAGATTCAAGTTAAACCTACAAGTAGTAATTTTTTGAGAGCATTACATGCAATTGCACGGTGGTATCTAGATCTATTGGAATTTATTGTAATTAGGTGATGCGAATTCATAAATCTGATATGCTTTGTTCTTAGATATATGAAATACTCCGTTCTAAAACTTCTGATCTTTCAAAAAGAATTATAAAAAGCTGCATTTGGTTTAAATTTTAAATTTTCTATGTTTCTTTGTCCACGATACATGCTCAGCTCTAATTTGAAGCTTTGAGATGGATTTTGAGAAGAGTGATTAAAAGATATATTGATTTTGGTAATCTATGCCATCAAATGCTGGGCAATAGGTTTCTTGAGGAAGCATAATCTTCTGGTTGGGTTTATTTTGTTGATCCTCCTGAATGTAACTAAATATGTATGCCCATAAATCTCTTACTGTATTATATGCTTTAAATTGCATATAATTGTCTTCATCCATTAGCAAAACTCTCTCTGTTAGAAAAAGAATTAAAATTTTCATTTGATTGATCATAAGTAACTAACTTTCCAGTTCTGATCAGGGTTTACTTTTCAAGAATGTTACTGAAATTATCTTAGTTGACATCAAATTTATTAGGATTAAGACTTGGTTTGTTAGTGAAAGTTCCGTGATCTTATTATGAGGATACCATGTGTTACATTTCTCGCTAGGAAATAAATAAGCATATCTTTTTTAATACTGGTATTAAGACTTTCATGCTAGGGCTTAAGATTATAGACCGCCACCAATTTGTTTTGAGCAATTATTCTGTTGTGATGGGTAGTAAGATCTAACCACTTCATATGTTGTACATGGAAATACTGCCAAAGTCATCCTGAGATTTGCCACTGCTGTGATGATTGCACAGTGTTTCCATTATCCTTTTTTTTTTTTTTTGTAAATGTAGTCAAGAAATCTATGTGTATCTCATAAATGAGAGTACATTTTTCCAGATTACCAAACAGAGGAAAGATGGTGAAGATTTGCTGCATTGGAGCTGGGTATGTCGGAGGCCCCACCATGGCAGTGATAGCACTCAAATGCCCTAAGATTGAAGTGGCGGTTGTTGATATTTCTGTCCCGCGCATCAATGCTTGGAACAGCGATCAGCTCCCTATCTATGAGCCAGGCCTTGATGAAGTCGTGAAACAATGTCGTGGCAAGAATCTTTTCTTTAGCACGGAGGTTGAGAAACATGTCGCTGAAGCTGATATTGTGTTTGTTTCAGTCAATACTCCCACCAAGACTCGGGGTCTTGGAGCAGGCAAAGCCGCAGATTTGACTTATTGGGAAAGTGCAGCCCGCATGATTGCTGATGTGTCAAAATCTGACAAAATTGTGGTTGAGAAGTCCACTGTCCCAGTCAAAACAGCAGAGGCCATCGAAAAAATTTTGACCCACAACAGCAAGGGAATTAACTTCCAGATTCTCTCTAATCCAGAATTCCTTGCTGAGGGGACTGCAATTAAAGATCTTTTCAAGCCTGACAGGGTTCTGATTGGAGGCCGGGAAACCCCTGAAGGCTTAAAGGCAGTTAAAGCACTGAAGGATGTTTATGCTCACTGGGTTCCTGAAGAAAACATCCTTACCACTAACTTGTGGTCCGCTGAGCTCTCAAAGCTCGCTGCTAACGCATTCTTGGCCCAAAGAATCTCATCAGTCAATGCTATGTCTGCTCTTTGTGAGGCTACTGGTGCAGATGTTTCACAAGTTTCATATGCTGTAGGTACAGACTCAAGAATTGGTCCCAAGTTCCTTAATGCTAGTGTTGGTTTTGGTGGCTCTTGCTTCCAGAAGGACATCCTTAATTTGGTTTACATTTGCGAATGCAATGGTCTTCCTGAGGTGGCAGAATACTGGAAACAGGTCATTAAGATTAATGACTATCAGAAGACTCGTTTTGTGAACCGTGTTGTTGCCTCTATGTTCAACACAGTCGCCAACAAGAAAGTTGCCATCTTAGGTTTTGCTTTCAAGAAGGATACAGGTGATACCAGAGAAACTCCTGCTATTGATGTTTGCAAAGGACTTTTGGGTGACAAAGCTCGATTGAGCATTTATGATCCTCAGGTTACCGAGGATCAGATCCAGAGGGACCTTACAATGAACAAGTTCGATTGGGACCATCCTCTCCATCTCCAGCCCATGAGCCCCACCACAGTGAAGCAAGTTAGTGTTGTTTGGGATGCCTACGAGGCAACTAAAGATGCACATGCTGTTTGCATTCTTACGGAGTGGGACGAGTTCAAGACTCTTGATTTCCAGAGGATATACGACAACATGCAGAAACCTGCGTTTTTCTTTGATGGAAGGAACATTATCAATGTGAATAAGCTGAGGGAAATTGGCTTTATCGTGTACTCAATCGGCAAGCCACTGGATGCCTGGCTTAAGGACATGCCTGCTGTTGCATAAATGCATTTCTTTGATCAATGTTTACATTTTGGAACCAACGAGCATAGATGCACGTGGACAGCTGGATTCTTTACATTTTATTTCCCATCAGTTTTCGAATTCTCCTATATTTTACCCTGTAATCAGAAGATACCGAGTGTCCTTATCTGGTCTGAATTTAGAACGTTATGTTTCCTCGTACCAGTATTTATGATACTGCTACCAGTCATTTACTTGTCCTCGTCAAGGTCCTGATTTGTTCCATGTTTGGCTTATAAGTTGATAAATTTTAGCAATTTTTTCGTCTCATTACTTTTTGAAATCTATATGTAGAGCTTATGTGGTTGGAAGAATAAGAAGTAAATTTGATTCAATTTGAGATGCTGTGGCTATTGCTGTGAAATTTTGCACTGTGATTGATTACTTTGTTGACCTGTCAAGTTGCCTTGATAAAAGGCAAATTCTGTTTGTTTTAGCGTATATTTGGCTGGTGTTATCAAAATGGTGGGACTTTCACATCGATTTTATTTCCGATCCATTACACCAAATTATTCTTACATTCTATTCCTACTAAAATTAATAAATTGAAAATTACATTCAATAACTAAAATATTGCATTTATTAATAAATTTTAAGAAAAAGCATTACACTTAATCACATTTAAAACAATATTAACTTTAGCATCACAATATAAAAAAAATTACATATAATATAAAATCGACCTACAATGGTGAATCAATGTAATTTTCATCATCGATTATCATATTGTGCATAATAATACAACCATTATAATGTAATACATGCTTTTTCCAAAATTTGTTGTCATGTCACAAAAGCAAACCGTGAGTGTGGAACGTCAAATGCATGTTTTACATCTTTCCCAGTTAATTGAAGTTTTTTTTTTTATTTTGAACCACATTATCGGCAAATATCTTCACAATAGAACGACGAAATCTCTTCAAAGTTTTAATTGTTGTGAATTCTCATACTCAACTTGCAACACATTTTTCACATAGAAAACATTAGAATTTTGATCAGTTCAATCGGATATCGAGAGAGAATGTTATATATATCATACCCTATGAACGTCCAAAAGTATGTTGAATTAGATTTATTCCATAGATATCAATTATTTGATGATCCAAAACATTCATTGATTCCTAGATTTAACCACTACATATTACTTGATCCATAAATTATTCCAAATCATATTTTGTTGATCAAACTATATTACTTCATATTAAACCACATATTAAAATATATAAGATCTTTTGATCAAACACCAAACCATTTAATCCACCGAAAATAAAGCGATACCATGGATTGGAAGCTGTTGCAAAAGCACAAATTCAGGAGGGCTAAGGTGAGATACCAAAGTAGGGATCTGCGTCAGGAGCACACAGTCTATGAGGGTTAATGTATAAACCAGGAGTCAATATTTGTTTTGAAGGAGCACACTTCTACTAGGATCAAGGGAGACTGCAGGAATTGAAGTTGAAAGTTCTATATGGTAGATGTGTCTGGACCGTACTGTAAGTTTATTTTGATTTATAGTGGATTACTACCTAGTAAAGTGCCATAAATTTTTATCCAGTTGAAGTTTTTCTGCGATCATTTTTGGTGTTCTTTATTATTTTAATTATTGATTCTGGTATTCAAATTTAGGACAAATTGACTTGTTTGATCAAATTATCTAGAAACAATTAAAAAGTGACTTAATTGTATAATTCCGCACATCGAGTCTAAATAATTTAAAACTTTCAAGTGGTATTAGAGCATAAATTTTAGAAAAATAAATTCTAAGAATTTGTACAAAAATAAAAATTATAAAAAATAAATAAAATAGTCAAAGTTCTTAATGATTATTTACATAATTTTTTCAAAAAATATATTTAAATGAACACAATAAAAATATTCTTAGTCCATGTCATTAATTTTCATTTTTATTTTAATATTTTGAACTCAATTTTTTATTTATTTTTATTTTAACTTTGTAGCGAGAAAAAATATTGTAAGATTTACTAACTTTAAATTGTATATATTATTTGATAATATATATGAACAGAAAATTGTTCTACTTTTGCTGAATAATCAAATTTCATATAATAAAATGTTATAAGATAATTTTTCAAGATTTCAAGTCAAATGTATTTTCTAGTTTTCTATTTTAAAAAATAACTTTTTAAAATGATAAACCAAATGCGTTTTTAATAATTTTAAAAGACTCTCAAAAAAAAAAAAGAAAAAGGAAAACAAACTCAACCAGCACAACTAAGGATCACGCTTGAATCACTAGCACAAGTCAAGATTACAATCAATTCTCACACAGAGGACATAAATCGGACTACCTTCTCAAAAAATATAGTATCTAAACACCTTTTACTAATAGGAGGTTAATATTTATCATTCACAAAAAAATGCAGAGTTGATTTAGAAAATGGCCAGGGTTTCAATTTTTTTTAATCAAATGAGAGAATGAACCCAAACCCGGATCCAGTAGCTCAAACTCCTCCATGTGTCATCATCCAAAAAAATAGCCATTTCAAGAACCGCGAATGGCCCACCGATAATCACCATTTCAAGAAGTTCAAATCTAGAGGCGTCAATCCGGATTGCCAACATATGAATCCGGTAACGGCTCGTGTGAAAAAAAACCTGCCCGCTACGGGTTCCGAGCCGGTTCCAGGTTGAGCCCATACGGGTCGCGGTCGTTCCAAGAATTTTTTATATTGATAGCAAATTTTTTTTTTTTTTTTTGTTAAATGTAAACTAAGAATTGAACAAAATGATAAATTCATAATTATATCAAGAAATTTTTACATAGAATTCAAATTTAATGTTACATGAATTATTTATAACTTTGCAAACTTAAATTTAATTTAAACAAATAACAACTACATCAAAATACATGTTTAATTATTATTATCAAATATTTATAGTATAAGTACATCCCAACTAGGTTGGCACCTACTTTTACTATAATTTATAGTTTAAGTACATCCCAACTAGGTTGGCACCTACTTAACTATAATTTTTGTTTTCCAATCAATTTTCAGGAATTGCAATCTTCAGGAATTGCAAGATTTTTGAAGTCTTCAACAATATCATCAACAATTTTATCTTGTATCCTTCGATCCGCGAATATCCAATCTTTCACGCATATGAGAGCTTCCAAAATATCTTCTTTAAGTCTAGATCTTCTTTCGTCCAATACCCTGTTACCTGCACTAAAAGCAGACTCGGATGCAACTGTTGAGACTGGAACTGTTAGTAGATCTCGTGCCATTTTAGATAATACAGGATACGACCGCTCATTTAATTTCCACCATCCTAAAATATCTAATTTATCAACTTCATCTTCAGGTATTACACTATAATGATCAAATTGATAATATCTTTCTAATTCAGCAGGTGTGGTATTTGGATTTGCAGTTGAAGTTGTAGATGAAGAACCAAGAATATTACGTTTCTTAGCTATCATGGAGAAAAAAGAAGATTTGCCTTTCGAAGTTGTAGTAGAGTTTGTAGAAGAAATATTTTCATTGTTACCATATTTAATAAAATAGTCGTTATACATTTCATTAATAAAAGTATTCAATTGTTGATTTGTAATATTTATGTTAAAAGCTAGTGTATTAGAAAGTGATTCTAAAGCACAATGAACACCAAACAACTTAATGCGAGGATCCATTACAGCTGCCAGTGGAAAAATTAGTGGCATGTTTTCATAATATTTTTTAAACTTTTCCTCCATTGAGTAAATAATTTGAAAGAAAAATGGATCGTCTCTAAATGATGAAAACTGTTCAGCAATTTCTACTAATTGTAAAAGTACAAGATTACTAGTTGGATAATAAACTCCAGAACTAACTTTTGTTGCCTTATAAAAAGGTTTCAAAAATTTCATAACTTGAAATGCTTTTTCCCAGTCCGAATCAGTTATATAAAATTGACTTTGCTTTGAATTAACAAATGCATTAATAGCATTAGTATAGCCAACACACGATTTTAACATTAAAAATGTTGAATTCCATCTATTAGGAACATCATCAACAAATTTTCTTCTTCTCAATCCAAGATTTTTACAAATTTTTGCAAATTCTTGTTGTCTAGAATCTGAACAAGAAATATAATTAATAGATTCTCTAATTATACTTATTTGTGGTGTTATTAATTTCAAACCATCTTGCACAACTAAATTATATATATGACAAACACAACGCATGTGAAATAATTTAGAATCATATAGGGGTCTAATCGCCCTAATTAAAAGCTCAATACATGCATTATTAGCACTTGCATTATCAAAGGTAACACTAAATAGTTTATTTAACACACCAAATTCATTAAAAACTTGTAATAAATTTTCACACAAATTTACACCATTATGTGGATATTCAAGTAAACGAAAAGCAATAATTCTCTTATGCAATAACCAATTATTATCAATGAAATGTGCTGTAACACAAGCATAACCATTATGATTTCGTCCAGACCAACAATCAGACGTGAAACACATAATTCCATCAATTTTTTTAAGTTCATTTTTTAAATTCTCAGCCATTGTATGAAATAATTTCATAGAATCAGAACGAGCAGTATTTCTACTTACACTCCTGTAAGAAGGTTGAATGTACTTTTGCAGGAATTCTTCAAAATACTGATCTTCTGCAAATGTGAAGGGCATCTCACGAGCTGCTAAAAATTCCGACATCCCAACTCGCATTCGTTCCTGCGAATAAACAAAATTAGTAAAAGTGACTGATCCACTAGCATTAGTAAAACCAGTAATTTGAGTTTGTCTAGGATCCAAATGTCCTGTTTCATTTAGATGTTTCTCTTTGTGTCTCCGTAGCGTGCCGGTGCCTTGACCATATCTCCAGACATAATCTTTTTTGCAGATATTGCATACTGCTTTTCCATCATTTTCATTTACTGTAAACATTTGTCACACATCTGATATTTTTTTTTTTCCTTGCATTTTGAGATGATCCAACTTCTACAACATTATCATCTTCTAA